CGTTGTCATTACAGCCCCCTTCATTTTACTGGCTATGCTCAACAAAAAGTCTTCGTCATTTTCATTCCACATGTACTTGTGTACATTCCATCAAGACTTGTCATTATCCTTTCTACTATAATTAAGATCGGCTGAATGGAATAATAAAGCATAGGTCATAAAGGCTATTACTTCCACGGGGAATTTGGGGCTGCGTTCATCAGAGAAATAACAGGGAGCTGGTTTGATTATTTTAACTTTCAGAAATTACTAGCATGACTGATAATTGTATCTGGGTTTTTGAGTCTAACAAAGAGGTGTGGTGAGAAATCCTTTGTTTTACATAACCGTCACTTTCGAGTCCCAGATCCAGGACCTTGGATTTCTTGTGCACGTTGATCACAGCGACCAGCTGAGACTGACTGTGCTGAGTGAACTCCCGCCGACACTGGAAATTGTTACTATGGAAAAGCTGCATGGGTAGGTGGATCTGCTGCTTCGTTCCCAGGAAACGACCCTTTTGGTCTGCAGAATGCAAGGCCTCTGTGCCCAGCAGATGCACGACCTCCTTCCCTGTCAGTAGCTGAGAACACAGGATCTCTCAGTCACATGACCCATTTCGATATTCTCTCCCTTTGCTTTAACAATGAATGGAAGCTGATGGCCTCTTGCTAGTAGGGAGGTGAGAAAAAAGCTGCTGCCACATGTTTCTAAACGTTGACCGCACGGCTCGGCACTGCAGAGTGATGGTAGAAATGCACATGGGTGCCCCATGCGTATTGCTTCGCAGGGGCTGCCATTGCAAATCTGCTTTGTTCACAAGAAAGACACAAGGGTCTGTTCTAACCACCCACTCTGCACGTCACATTGGGCCCTAAGGATATGGCTACACGGGGATAAAAGCCCCGTGCCATGGCTGCGACTGCTCTGTCAGGCTGGCTCGGGCTGCAGGGCTAAAAATGGCTGGAGCCCAGACTCTGGGGCCCTTTTCCTGCTGGGGCCAGCTGCAGGTTTTTATCCCCGTGTGGACATAACTATACCTTGACTCTCAGGGGACGTGTAGATTCACAGTCCTCTGGTTATTTAACGCTGCTCTGGAAGGAAGTCCAAGGATTATGTGCCTTTTGGAAAAGGAGCTTTTAAAGGCTGGACTTGAAAGCACAAACCTTATTGTAATTGCTGCAGTCTGCCATGAAGAGATGTTTAAATTCTTTGTTAGCACCCGTAGTGTTTCCGACACGGCTGGCTCTGTGAAGCTGCCATCTTTGTCTGGGGTCTCCTGGATAGAATGTCTTGGGTTACTGGCCACATTTCTAGCAAATTTGTGCCATTCTTGTAAACTGAGCAGATTTGCAATGGCAGCCCCTGCGAAGCAATACACATGGGACCCCACTGTGCATTTCTACCGTCACTCTGCAGTGTAGAACCGGACTGTAAACGTTTCTCGTTTATAATTATTGTGCTGAGTCTCCCCCCGTCCCAACCTCCCCAGCCTTTGCAGCTTGAAAACCTGGAAACATTAATTCCTCCATCAAACTGAAGAGACATCATTGGCATGGGGCCCACTGACATATGCCAGGTCATGGAGGAGTGTGAGGATTAACTAGACCATGTGACAACCAAAAGGCTGGAGGGATCCTGCTGCTCGCAATTCAGAGAGGCCTGTGCTGCTCCCATGATATTGGGGTGATTAATGACAATACATTCACTATCCACGTTAAATAAAATCAAGTGCAACGACTCATCATTATGTTCTCTGGGATAAATGGTACCGAGGTGATCATTATCTAGCAAGACACTGCAGAAATGGAATTAGTTCTGCCAGCCTAGATTCAACACACAAATCGCTGATGATTGACACTGTTGACAATTCATTAGAAAAAAATGGTGTCGTTATAAATTGGAAGAGGAATGATAGAAATGCCAAGCTAGAGCCAGTCTCTCCCATCACACTGATCCCTGTACACATCCCCGAGTTCTCTGCATGGTGGCCATAAAATGGGCTATAGCCAATAATAGTGACTGAAAAACAAACCTGTATGCTGCAGGGAACAGGGTCAACAGACTGTTCTCCACCGCTGGAAAGCCAGGACGAGAACGCTCGAGTTTCAGTGCCCAAAACACAGGCCTCTACCACTTAGGCAAAAGGAGATTGCGAACAGAGGTCAGGCTTAGTAGTTTTCATACGCTCCCTGTGGGAGAGTACTAGAGGGCAACGTTACACACACATGCTCTGGAGCTAGGTGAGCAATTTATATTGTGTAATTTACACACAACTTTGAGCTCTTTTTTCTGTTTGAGGGTTATCCATAAACAGATTTTTGTGGACTCATTATTAAAAAAAATTTTGTGCAGCTGATGCAAACGGGGTTCAGCCCAGGGACTGTTCACAAACTGTTCTCTTTGGCTATCCAGTAGCCACGGTGATTTCAGGACGGCCAGGCGAACACTTCCATTGGAGTGAAGGATGCTGGTGTCTGTAGAACCCCGAGCTCATTGGTGCAGAGGTTAGAAGTTGCGTAATGAATGAAGAGAAAGGCCGGTCTCAGGACTAAGGCAGTTGAATGCCGCGCTGGAGAACTGGAGTCTATCCCTGCCTCTGCCACAGAGTTCCTGTGTGACGCAGGGCAGGACACTTAGGCCAAAATGCTCACAGGTGGCCCGTAACTGTGTATTCCTCGTTTTCTGGGTGCCTGACTTGAGACCTTGATTTGCAGAAATGCTCAGCCACAACTGAGGCCAATGGGGTGTGGTCTGGCCGGGTAAAGGGCTATATAACGCTAAGTACAGTGGAAAGGGTTGGAAATATTTTTGTCCGTGTGTGTGTGTACTGTGAAATAGACATTAAACAACATTTAATGCTAAAAATCTAATCCTTCCAAACCTATAGGTAGCTGAGAGATGCTGTTCTAAGAAAGACTGGATTTCTCATATGGCGAAAATAAAAGGTTTCTCTGTGAAATTACCCCCAGGACAATGATTGTACGGACATGGCTGTGCAACCAGGGCAGTGCTGTCTGCTACACACATGAGCAGGCATACACACACAAGCTAGGTTTCGGATTGAAAAAAAAGAAAAGAAAAGCCCGCCGAGGCCATAATTGTCAAGCAGAAAAATCAAATATTTTCTTTATTTTTCCATCCCCACCTTACCAAATGAACTCGTGGCCAGTAGACTCAGTGACTGAGGGGAGATTTAGCTGTTGACTACTCTGGGAGAGCATCCTCCAATGTGCTGTCCTAGAGGACAATGCAAAAGGATCCGTTCTGTCCTGTGTAGGATGGATAACCTCCTGCTAGTTTCAGACTCTCTTGATCGGGGGGAGCGATCCATCTAGCATGAGGAAGCTCACACAGCAATTTGCCACCTCCTGCCTAGAGCTGGGCAGGAAATGGTTTTCCTAGGAAAAAATTTTGAGATTTCAAAAATAATTTCCTTTCCCAATTTGGGACAAAAAGTTGAAATCTCAAAAATGTTCATGAACCAACAATCCAAAAAAGTTCAGGCTGGGTCCAACTGAAACATTTTGTTTCAAGATTTTCCAAATGTTTCATTTTTATTTTGCCTTTGTTTGTTTGTTTGTTTGTTTTTACCATAAGTAGCTTAAATTTTGAAATAAAATCTAGGAGCAAACCAAAATAATGGCATGATTTAGTTAGAAATGTCCCATTCTGACATTTCTGAAACTTTTTCCTCAAGCATTTTTCAAATAGAGAATTTTATTGAAACCAACCCTGTCTAGTGAACAACTTCAGTTTTGACAAATGACCATTTTCTAATGCAAAATCTGTTGGGGAAAAATTCCCGCTCAGCTCCATTCCTGCCTTGATAGCCCTCAGCATCCGTGCTCCTACATGAAGCTGGAGACAAAGGATGTTTTTCACTGCCCACACCTTGGAGAGCTTTTTGCTTTCCACAGAAACTAGAATTCGCTCCATCCTCTTCTAGCCAAGCTCCAGTTATGCTAAAGCTCTCAGGAACTTTCCAGATTTTTCACAGTTTGAGGTTGAAACAAGAACATGTTGCGTCTGTTAATCTCGCTGCACTGCTGCATATGGCAGGGCTGGACTCACACAAGTGACATATTGGTGCTGCGTTTCCTATAATGAGTTTAGTAACAGGCTGTACTGTGTGGCACAAGGAAATTGTTGTGCTGCCAAATCTGAAATGGTTTTGACATAATGAGCATCAGGCAGCTGAAGCAGAGTTTTTTACTTTCTTTTGAAGGAAAATATTACATAATGAAGGAGGTGACCCTCTGCCGAAGTGACTCACACTGTCTAGCAGTATTTTAGACTATTAAACGGTGTTTGGTCACAGCTCGGTAGCAGTATTTTAGACTATTAAATGATGTCTGTGAACAGACCGAATTCTATCCTCAAGCCACATGTAATTCAAATTTCCCTGGTTTGCTGAGAGTTTGCCAAACATGCAGGTAGCCAACACATAACTAGGGAATGGCAGGCCTTGGCCGGGTTACCAACAGCAGCCATTTCCCCCCATCATCAAAGGTGTCCAATAACCGTAATAACCCCAAACATCAGCAAGGCAACACTTCCCTCGCTTTCCCATTGCTAGCAGCGGGACCATTCACAATCTGTCAGAAATCATCAGACTCCAGAGCTACATCATTTGAGAGAGGTACAACAGGGGGCTTTTGAAGGACAAACTTGTATGAGAGAGTAGGCGAGGAGGTTTCTGCCCAGTCTCAGTGCCAGAGGAAAGCGTGAAGGAAAACGCTTTTTGAGAAAGTTTGAGCATTCGGAACAGTTCCTTCAGGGAAAAGCATATGGTACAATCTACACAGTGCAGTTGGAAACGTGGGCAGGAAATACCTAACTTGAGATTCAGCCTGAAAAAATGCAAACAAGTTAATCGGAGGGAAAAATCATCTGAAACACAGAGATGCTTGGGGAGCAGCAGTGCTGAGAGGACCTAGGGGTGAAAGCAGAGAGCAAACGGAATGGGAGCTGGAAATGTGTGATGGGAGGCAGGGTGTTAAAAGCCCCTGCAGTTTGGAGCTGCTGACGGAAGGGCACTGAGGACATGGCACAGGTGAGATTTCATCGAATATACCCCATATGCCTGAGCTCCTGAAAGAGGTTGACTAGTTGAAGGGAGTTTAGAGCAAAGCAACAGAACTGACCAAACAGTGGGATGCTGAAGTTATCAAACAATACCAATGCCTTGGTCTTACCTCGTGTTTTCCATCCACAGCTCTCAGTAAAGTAAGAGGTAAATATTGCTGAGATGAACAAGGCCTAATGAGAGGGAGGAACACGCAGTAACCCAGCAACTAGATACCAAACAATGAACGAAGGGCCGGGTTTTCAAAAGCACTTAGCATTGGCCTAACACTGTTTCCACTGGAGTCAGTCGTAAAACGCCCCAAAGTTGTTTGGGCCTCTGAATCTAATCATCCAAATTTTAGTTTCCTTTTATTCCCAAAACCGTCAGTGGGGTTTGGGCAATAAACCACTCTCTGCTCTTCCCTGGGGCAAACTCAGAGTGACGAGGGCAAATTACATTAACAACCTTCTGTGCAATATCTGGAGCGATAGGCTTCTCCTGAAAAGAGGATTTACTTATGGTGTGCAGAGTGACACTTCATGGATGATGAGTTGTGCACTGGAAGGAAGAAAAACACCTTCATCCCCTGCCTCCCTGGCCCTTGTGTTGAGAAGGACCTGCCCTTTGCTGAGACAATTCCGTTAACCTCTAAGACGAATGAAACGTTTTTAATAGTGTAGACACATAACATTTAATTTAACACAAAGAGCTGCTCTCGTCCTCTCCTCCCGGATGAGTCTCTGGGCTTGTCTTCACTACCCGCCTGGATCGGCGGGTAGAAATCGATCTCTCGGGATCGAATTATCGCCTCTCGTCGGGACGCGACAATCGATCCCCGAATCGACGCGCGTACTCCACCAGCCCAGGTAGGAGTAAGCGCCGTCGACGGGGGAGACGCGGTGGTCGATTTGCCGCCATCCTCACAGCGGGGTAAGTCAGATCGGATACGTCGAATTCAGCTACGCTATTTGCGTAGCCGAATTTGCGTATCTTAAATCAATTCCCCCTCCCCCCCCATGTAGACGTAGCCTCAGAGACAGACTCATGTCCTGCCTCCTGAAGAGACAGACAGAACCAAGGGGCCCAGTTAGAACTTGTGGACATGGTGAATATGGACAGAGGAAACAGGCAGCAAGTCAGAAGTGGAACGACTGGAGGTGCCGTGTGTCCCTAATAGCCCTTAGGTACAGCAAACTGGCTGCTTCGGTCCTTTCAGGATTTCACTCCTGTTACTGCAGAGGGATGCGGAATGTCTCGCGTGCGATTTTAATGTTTTCTTTTCAAAAACGTTATGGTAATGCAACAAACTACAGAAGATAGAATGTTACCTACGTTACCCATTAAATAAGGGCACAGCCTCAGAAACCCTAGGGACAGAGTACAGAGGAACAGGATGTGGTGGCAAATTCTGTATTTAATTGGGTCATACAATCGATGGAATTTAACTAGTTTACATGAGCTGAGTACTGGGCTATTGGTCGGAGACCTAGAGATGGAAACCAGTGACCCATCAGCCGAGCAAATTCCCTTTTGCACCAGCAGAGAATCTGGCCCCTCAAGGCTAGTGTTTTAGGATGGGGATTTATGGGAATATCAAGGAATTGCTGCCACATTAGTGGGAAGAGTTTTTAATTATCAAGTGCCATGGAAATACTCCTCAGCGGTGGTGTTAAATATGTTTGTCTGCATTAGTTCAACAGCAAACTATAGCGTGTATAGACACACTCCGGGCAGTGCTGGCTATGAGCTTGTGAGTTTGTATCTGCCTTAGAACAAACTCCTTCCCCCAGAAGTAATCCAGAATTACAGTTTGGTTAAATTGATAAGTTCCCTCCATCCTCTTCTCGCTCTACGCCCCCCCCAGTCCCTCTCATTGTCTAACTCCTACCCACCCCCCGCTTGCCCCAGCACAGATTCCGGATTCATTTCCCACTTGCTGTTCCCTGTGTTGCTAGGGCAATCTCAGCTGGGGAGCAGCAGAAAATAGTAACAGAAGATGCTGCAGATCCATGGCACGAGGCTTTATCTGCAGCGTCTTTGTTCTTCTCCACTCTGCTTCGTGCGGCGCCATGTAAACCCTTAGCAGATGCCAAGGGAATAATGGACTTTAATTACTTTAATGGGCCTCTCTGTGGTGCTGGGATTCTCATGCCTGTTGTTCTCGGTGCTGGGCATGGAGCTGTGTCAGCAAAGTGCCGGAACTGAAAGCATAACAGGTGGCACAATGAACGTGTGTGCTGGGGGGGAGACGGTGTCACAGGGATTGAAGTTGGAGGTGGAAGCTGTCTCTGCCAGGGCGCCGGGCAGTCTCCGCAGAGAGGCAGAGGGCTGTTTGAGTGAGCCAGGGTTGTTGTGAATATGCCCTGGGGGTGCTTAAGGGAAGTCTCTCTTCTCACTGTCTCAGTGATCGCTGCTTCCTAGTGGCATGCACAGCCGAAAGGGGTTAGGCCTGGAGCAGCCTGCAGCAGAGGACATGTTCTCTTGCACTGCGTGGTGTAATGTGACTGTACCCTGGACTCCCCGCACCTAGGACATGCGGCTGTTCTGAGGGGGACACACTCTGGTGAACCTTCTCCTGCTGCTGCAAGAACCTGAAAGCAAAGGAGAGCGACTCCATCCGTGCTACCTGAGCGACTGTCCAGGAAGCCCACTCCCACAATGAAAGGGTGGAGACCAGCTCTCTGCTTCCCCTGGATGGACTGAACGCTCCACCCCAGACTGGTCTCTCGGGCAGGATGGAATCACGCTCCCAGAGCAGCATAGGAGATGCTTGCACTGCCTGTGTTTACCTGCTTGGTGATTACACAGAGACTCTTCCCACTGCTGCAGTCAATCCAGCACTGAACACAAACGTGGAGAGGCCGTGGAGCACAGTATATTTTATGCCAAGCCACTGCTCGTGTGCAGCAGGGTTATGGGACTTCAAGGTGGAGCTGGTATCTCTGGCATGTTGTCCAGCGCCCATGAAAGACACTGCCCGATGCCTGAGCCAGTCTGATTCAGGGCGCGGCACCGAGCAGCTAGGCTATGCCTGGAATAGGTTTAGTTTACCCTATGAAAGGGAATCCACCATGGTTTGATTTTCAGACCTGCTGTTAGGGCCCAGATTTGATTGCCTTAGGCAGGTCGTTCCTCCTCCACCCACTCGTGGAAGCAGGTGGTACAATGGACAAGAGAGCTGCAGTTATAATCCTTGGTGTTTCCTTGGCAAAGCCCTACAACACATCCTAATGCTGTCACTCCTCCTTCACCGTCCTGTTCCAAAGGGCGAACTAAGCAGCACAGGCCGAGCTCAGAGCGGAGCAGCCGTGGCCAAGGAGGAGCAGAAGAACCACTTTCTATAACAGTCTCATCCGGGAGCCGTGGGGAGAGCACTGTATTGCTCTGATGGTGCCAGCTTAGGGGACTTTAATGAAAAAGGTGTCCGTTAGACTATCACCGGAGAATCAAACAGCCCACCAGCTACGGCACCACCGCTGCTTGTTACCCGTGTCTAGGATGGGAGACCAGGGTTGTCCGGGCTACGTCTCTCCTTCCTTAACATGACCTCACAACCTTCCCAGATGCCCAGTCACTTCTCTGGGCCCGTGTAGCCAGCCAGCACCGCCTGGCCAGCGGTAGGCCCAGACTCCCGAGAACAGACTCCGAGGGGCTTCGGGGACTGTTCTGAGAAGCAGCACAGGAGCAGAGGCAGCAAATAATTGTTCAGACTCCTGGCTCCCGCTGTCTCTAGACACCGGGACAGTGCCTAGGAACCCTTTATCTTAATCCTGCCGGAGTCCAGCTGTGAGCTCATTTCTCATGCAGTCACACTGCTCAGCGCTGTACTGTGCGTTCCCTTAGAAGAAAGACCTAGAAACCACACATTGCTTCCTACACCTACCGCAGAGGAGATTATATGGCATCCCCAAAAGCCGTTTTAATGTCTCCACTTGGCCCATGGCAACAAGGTGTTAAACGAAATGTAGCGGCTGTGCAGCTGGCCGGGACAGAAATCTAATACTCTGTGACACCCACCGCGCAGGGGCCACATACTGCACTGCGAGCCGGATACGCCCTCTGGTCACACAGCACTTTAATGCTATAGTGTAATTCCGTATTTTCAATTCCAGAACAGAAATCAAATCAAACCAAGCAGCAAAACACACTCCAGACAGTTCGAGCAAACTCAGGAGATTTGGAATAGTCCGATAAACCAGGGATCTTCCTGTCTGGAAGTGAGGACAGGAAGGATTTATAGCCGGGCAAGGAGACATTCATCCATTCCATTTCACTGAAACTCTCGCTCCCCAGGCTGTTGCAGAGGGTTACCCCTTGTCCTGGCTCTCCAGCACCCCCGAGAAGCAGCCTGCGGCAGCTCAGTTAAGTAACATTTATTTATTTTATTCTGAGACATAGAGAACAAAATCTCAGCTGCCCTGTGCTCTGGGCGCCAGAGCCACAAGAACCGCAAGCCGTAGCGACGGCTCCCGCTGCCTATCTCCACAGCCTGCAACAATAAAAGCAGTGAAACGGAACTGCATTCCCCAGAGCCTCAGGACACACGCCAAGGAGCTCTGCAGCAGGGCCTGAAGGTCAACAGATTTGGGCTCTTCAGGGCTCCGGAGAGTTGTGCATTCCAGATCCCCTCCATGGGCCTCCATGGCAAACAGCTCCTTCACAGTCACACCCAAGGGAGCCCAGCTCAAGTGCTTCTCCTGGTCTCCACTCCAGCCACATGTCGCCAGGAGAGACGTGTTTCCCAAATAGGCAGGTCCCCGTCCCAAGCCATGTAGGGCATCGCCTGTCACAACCAACATCTTCAACTCCACCCAGAAATAGACAGGCAGCCAGCGCAGGTCCCAGCGCAATGGGGTCATGCACTTCCGGGAGCTACGCCATTTGCAAGGCACTGCAGCTGCTGGAGTTTCTGGGTTTAAGGTGCAGCCCCACAGAGGGGTGTATTACCGCCATCTAATCTCAGGGTGAGCGAGATGTGAAAACAC